GGTTGAATTATTACAATATGTACAAACTGTTATATGTTGAAAAATTAATTTTTATTAAATTTGTTCTTTAATTTTTATCTATAAAAGAATAAGATTGATGTAAATTTAAGTGAGAATAAGTTATAAAATACTTATAAAATTAAATTATAAGCTAAAAAATGATAAATAAATGCATATAAAAATTAAACTCATCAAAACCCATTACCCAAATAGTTTTGAAAATACAATTTCAAGTTTCACACAATAATTCATCTTAATACCCAATTGAAGCACGAAATTCCAACTTCAAAAACCATTTCCAATGCCATCCATTAGCTTCCGTTTCTTTAACACCCGGCACTCTTTTCTTATGTTTAGGGTAGATCACAATATAAAGCAAGTTATTTGGCAACCGAATAAAGTAGTCTAACAAAAACTCTAAAAACTCAACATAGCTTCCTTTATTTATTTTTTTTTTTTTATCAAAAATCATTTTTATTAAAATTAATTTTTTTAATTATTATTTAATTTTTTTAAAATTCAATTGTTATAGTTAATTTACAATCAATAGTTGAATGCTAGTATTAGCTATGATCTTATTTTTTTTTTTATAACTATTAATTTTCTTATAAATCTATGATTGCTACAAATATTTTAATATTGTGGAAAAATTGAAAATTAACTATAGAATTTGCCTATAGTCAAAACTTTGTAGCTAGAAAATCAAATATTGCTACCCAAATTAAAAATTAAAACTAAATCTGTAAATTAGCTTCGAGAAGGTATTACTTGTAACTATTAAAATGGTAGTCAGCTACAGGTTAGATTTATTGTAGCTATTGTTATCTATTAGCTACATATTTATTTCTTGTAGCTTAAATTCGTAGGTATAAATACAAAATGTAGTAGTGAATGTTTATTGGTGTAGTTGGAATTTTAATTCGACGTATTTTGTAACTTGTGGGGGAATTTTTTGGGCCAATTGTTGAAAGGAATTGAATTGGACCTTCTGACCCCATTTGTTTGGATTTTGATGTATTAGTGAGTGGACGCCCAAGCCCAATTTCTGATTTCTGATATGACCCCAATGCTAAAGCCCAAAGAGAAAAAAAAATGCCAAGATATTTTTTTGTTGACTTATCTTATTTTTTGTCAAACTTGTTTTTTAAAATGTCATTCAAAAGAAAAGAAAAAAGTAAAAAAATATTTTTTATTGAACCAATCGAAAAGTCTAGAGATTTCCATCAATGTGAACATGAGTTTAGCTTTTGTACGGTGGAAATTTTCATGAAACCAAGTACTCGGTGCCAACAATTTCATTGATTGTAGCAATTCACAGTTGTTTGCCTAGCACTCTAGATGTTTTATAATAATTGTCCTATTTGATTCAAAATATGTTTTAATTTTATTTTTTCAATTTTATTAAGAAAATAAATGTATTTGGACCTTCGGTTCAGTAACAATAAAACTACGATAAAGTGTTTTTTTCTTTTTTTGTAACAGTTTAAATTCAATTTTTATAAACATGTTTAAATAAATAAATAAATAAATATCTTATATATATATATGTACTTTAACCTTAGTGTTATCTTTTATTGTAATTTTATTATTAACATTACCGTTAAATTTTTTTCACTTTATTTTTATTATTTTAACAACAATATAAACATAGATAAATCATTTAAAAATTCACAATTTCTAAAAATAAAAAAAAAAGAGTAAAAAATTAATATTTAGACTTTATTTGTAAATACTATATTATCCTACATTGTGACTATAGCTATAAATTTTTTTCGTCATTTATTATCACAAAATAAATAGTAAAACTGTATCGGTCATACTCAAATATGTAAAATTGATCTTGGGCTCTTCCATGTCCAATTTTTTGTTTTCATTTTTTAATCAGTAATTAACAAGAAATTATTCCTTGTAATAATCTCTTTTTAAAAATAAATCTCAGGTAATAAAAGAAATTCTCTTTTTCTCTACCAAAAAAAAAAAAAATTGAAATTCTCTTTCCTATCAAACCCGCATTACCTATGTCTTCCCAAACACAAACTCCTAAATATACTATTTGAGATTCCATTTTTTAAGATACACCTTTCCTGTCTTGAATGACCAAAAATGGGTCTTACTGTGGGCTGTTAAAGCGTGTGCTCTCTCAG